GAATACAATTCTGAGTCGTTCAACGCTGGTCATAATGTGACGGACGATTAAAGGTGGTTTCCCACTCACACGAGTTTTGGGAAAGCACTCGTGTCTGGTTTGCACAACTGAGCAAGTGGTGGAAATTCCTCAATCCTTATTGCAGGGGCAAGTTATTCCATAGGACCACCACTGTGGGCTTTCTGAAAAAAGTGGCAGTGTTTTAAGTCAAGCTTGTGGGTTCGAAAAGCTGAGTCAGCCTACCAACCTGGTCCAGGATTTTAACTCACAAGCCCTACAATCCAACCACCGCACACCACTTGAGCCATCTAATTATGTGGCAGTGTGAACCCAATTAGTGGGAGGAATATATAATCAGACGTGTATCTTGTTTCGCCACATTGCTCAATGCTTTCTCAAGTCTGTACGACGTGGTGCATTTAGACACTATATAAATCCAAACTCTACTCTGTTGTCTTCGTGGGGCAAATACTACAAGCTATGTATACTGCGTAGGTGTACTCGCATGTAATATGCGTAATAGTGTTCAATTATGTAATAAGTGCCATCTCCATTTTACGGGTCATGTTTAGCAATTGACAATTACATGCTGTGACCATTAAGTAGATTACTGGGTATATCATTGGGCTTATTATTTGTGGAACAAATAGTAATTGGCACGTTTGTATTTTCAACCAATATCCAATGGGGCCAATTGGCCTGGTTCATTTAAGGCTTAGCAAAGAACAAAGTTTATAAAACATAAGACATATTAAACAACACACTAAAGTGTGTAAGAAGCACACGTCATTGCATAAATGCAAAAAAAATCCCCATCATCAATTCCTGATCCGTGTTGTTGTTGTGGTCAAAATACATTTTAAGCAAATTTCACCAACAGCGGAATGTATACAGCGACAAATAAATGTGGACAGTTATTTGTCACTTAAGTAGTTCTCAACACAGAATAATACCACTGCTTGTTTGAAACTTCGCAAATTTTACACAAGACATCTGGATTTTATCGTGGCATATTCAAAGGGTGCACCTCTGAAAATGCCACCATGAGTGTTGGTCAATGAACCTAGTGGCAGCCTGCCTTCACGGGATGCAAAGCAAACCTAATTTAAGTGTGTGCAAATAAGATGAGTTATTTCAGTTAAATGCACAGAAACCATGTGTTATAGGATGCACAGGCTATCTAAAAACGTATCAGTAAATATTACACATGTTTTTATTCGACAACAGTTTGTGACTAACATGCCTATCAATCAGGACACAATAATGTTCGTATGACGCCAAAGAAAATGAATAGCGCATGAAAGCGGATGAATAGCCGGTTCTCTCGACAATACAAGTTTGCTTTATGTTATTTGCGTGACTGGAAATGGAAATTTGCAATGTGTTCTATAGCAAAACTGAACGGACATGCAGAGGAAAATAATTTATCAGAAACAATGTGTGACACGAGCCGAAATTCCGGTGTGACGCACTCACTTTTGCGCAACTTACGTTACGATTTTTCTCACTTGCAGGAGGTGCCAATTTAAGCGAACCATAAAACAAAGACCTAAAACACCACGAGTGACACCAAAGTGGGAGAACTAACGGTGAGTGGTGAATATTACTGAATTGTGCTTTTATAACATGAAAGCAAGAAGAGCAAATGACATCAGAGCTTCCCCCTAGGGCCGAGAAGAATAGAATACCACCCATATCCTTAGAGCACCCGCAGCAACAAAAGCCACAAACGTCGATAACAGGATGCAAAATGCGGCATACTTCGCTGTAAATTTACCCTATAAGCCCCGCAGAGATGCACACTTTACGTATAATCCGCGCAAATGCTTATCGCGCTTCAACACGACAATTATAAATCGTGAAACTACGCCAGGTTTGACTTGAAACACAACAAGACGTGACCACAAACAATAACATGAACTAAATTCATAAAACAGCCCTACTCTGCTTTCGATCGGTGACCGGCCTTTTTCCCGTGCAGCTCCTTAGACTATGGATTTATCTCCCACCATAAATTCTATCCAACAAGTCTCTCGGCTTATTCAAATCCCAACCTTAGGATACATCTATTCTTAAAAGCCTTTTCACTTCCTGAACATTTTTAGTTCATCTTGCTTTAAAGCTTTCGTGATTGCAGGAATTCATATTCTTTGAGCTTTACCGAAAGACCAAAAGAATATTTTTAAATTGTATTTGAAAAAGTAGTCTTATCACTCACCTTTGTGCTTTTATTAGGTTCTGACTGGGTTTTTTTTTCTTCAAATGTTATTTTCAGTTTTTAGCTCTCTACATCTTCTTCCGACATCTGGGTTAAAGGTGCTTTAGAAGTGTAAATTATGTTTAAAATATGATTTATTCATGGGCCCCTGTGAAATCAAAGGCTTGGCTTCTTCCAGTCATACGATCTGGAGAGCATTGTTAATCCTCTTCAGAGCCCGTGCCCCTCAATATCAACACGTTCTTTTAAATCAGCACAACCGAGAAATTAGATTACAGAACCTTTTCCTACACTCGCTTCAAGGAATTGCAGTGCCTGTGTTTGTACACAAAAGCAAGTGCTCAAAGCGAGTATTTGCGAAGCTCAAAATCGCAATGTGTTTACCAACCCAGCTCAGCCCAAATACCCGCCATAGATATAAACACATTTATTAGTTAACAACCGACCGCTCACATTTTAAAGTATACTCATGGCTAAATGTTTCCAATGCAATTACTTCATACGAGGTGGGTAATGATTTTCACCTCTTCGCGATGGGGTGAATTGTTAAGAATTTGCGGTCACAATTCGAGTCGAGAATTGAATATTTATATTTCATTAATTATTATCTACACTTGTGACCGACACTTGTGCCCCACACTTGTATTGTCCATCTCGTTGGGTGTATTCGCCGAAGCATCACATTTGCAGATGTCCAGTAGGAATAATCCTTCTTTACGAAAACCATTGGAGCATTTATACCGAGCACAAGAATAGAATTTAATAAATAAATTCATGGCTCTAAACATCTACTACTATAATGAGCCAATAATGTCTGTGTGTCCCACACGTGACGTCACTCCACGTCGGCCAGTCCCCCCTCATTAATAACCATGAGCAGGTGACGTCTTCCAAATGGACACCCACCTCACCATTAATATTAATTAGCCAGTGACGTCACTCCACATGGGGGGGGGCAAGGCGCCTCCTCCCCCCTCTCAGCGTCAACTTACAACCTTCACTACAGAGGCAGAAGCCTCACATCACGCGATCTCCGTAACGCTGTTGTTGAGACATAGAAGTAAAAAGGACGTCGTGATGAACAAGAGATTATAACCTTTAAGTGAAATAAGTCTGTCACCGCGGCCTTACAAACTTGCACACGAATTGATGCAACGAATATCACGTGGCGGTCTGCTTTTCGCTTGCAAGTTTCCAATTTACTGAAATACACCCGTCCTTGGATGGGGAAAAGACTAGTTCCTAATGTTTTCCTTTTGTAACCATGGGTTTCACACGCTGTCTTGCATTTAGAGATGTCCCCCCAAGGCAAGTCTTAATAAGGCACAGACCATCTCAATCAGTTATTACCAAGTTATAAGGGTTACTCAATTGGCAACAAAACAGGTGTTAAGATGTTAAAACACCAAACTGAAACCTTTTACAAGGAATCATGTCTGCATTAACCACAATGCTTGTGGTCAGAATGCAAACAAAAACATACTCTGATAATATATGCATTGTCTTTGAAACTGATTGGTCCACACCAGAGACAACTTTCTTTTGAGCCTCGTCTCAAACGGTGTTAGACCAGAGGATGCCAAAAGGCGGTTTCAGTTTGGTGTTTTAACATCTTAACACCTGTTTTGTTGCTAGATAAAATGGGAAAAACCTATTACCATATTTTGGTACTGGCAAAAGAGGTCACATGATGGTTACTCAATTGTTTACTTTTAGTATGTGTTCACATCAATGTTTTTTTCTCTGCTATTCACTGCACTGTAAAAAGAGTAAATAAATGTGCTTTTAGTTGTATTTCTTTACAATAGGAACACTTCCGTTACATCGCTTTTGTTTATACGTGTCATGTGCCAATGTCCAGTGAGTGGCAAGAAGCCAGCATTTACTCCTGGGGAAATTTATACTCGTCACGAACCCAGGTCAACACAACTCACTTGTACTCGTTTTTGCGTTTTTTCGTCACAATAAGGACACAACAAAATCGTACGCACCATAAAAAGCCAGGTGAGTGGGTGTTAGGGAGCCATCGCATTTGTACGTGTTATAAACCCTGTTTATAAGCAAGCCTGAAATGAACCAGGGCAATCACCTGCCAATGCAGATGGTGGGAAAATACAGACCATCAATTACCAATTATGCCACCAATAATTTGTGTTACATGTTTACAGGTTTTTTTGGAAACTCTTTATGGTACTATAGTTAAAGGCCTTGAATCACAACCTTAATGTGGCGAGTTCAAACTCCCGTAAGAGGGCGGCTCAACTAACATTTGTCTTGGGAATGATAACATAAACATTAGTAGCACTTGGTGGGAAGTCATCATGCACGAACTTCCTGCTCTTCAAATTGTTTTATTTTGCTCGTAATGTTCTTCATGTCTTAACTTGATTGGCCTAACGTTAACATTCGCATATAACCTTCATACATTGCGAATAATCGAGCATCATAATGCAACGTGGTACTGTTACCGTGGAAATCCAACATTTCTCCTGCACGGTATCCATGCCGCAGCCTGTGCCCCCCCTAATGAGGCTTTTGCGCCCCCCAGGCTTGTGCACCCCCCCCTCCCCCCATGGGGGTGCACCCCCACATTCAGAACCACTGGTGTACATTGCGTTCGAAATAGTTGCACGGCCTGCACACACTCGACAGCGACGCCGCCGCGTTCCGACGCCGGGTTTTTTGTCCAGACAGGATCGGGCAAACGACACCCTAGTAGAGGATAGGGGGAAAACAAGGCGAAAGCGCAAGGTGGAGGGGGGGATGGTGATGGCACACGTACCACTAGCGATGTCATACAGCTGGTTGGCCTCCAAGTCGGTGAAGGTCTTGCTGCAGTCGGGGCATCGGAAGGAGGCCCGGTTTGTGGAGTCTCGCTCGTCGGTCTCGAGCTTCCGCCGCATGTGGTCGAGCTTGTACTTGACGACGTTGACGAGCAGGCGGTAGTTAATGAAGTAGTAGTTGTGGCGCGTCGACTTGCCATCGGGCGCCGTCTCCATGCACATGCGGCACTTGATGAACTTGTCGGCCTTGAGCGTGTTGAGCACGGAGCGCAACTGCTTGCGGTCAAACTTGAGCAGCTCCTGGATGTCCTCCTCGCGCACGCACGGGTTGCGGATGAGCACGTCGAGCGCCAGCGCATACTCCGAGCCGTAGAAGCCGCGCACGATGAACTTGGCGAGGCGCTTCAGCGAGGCCGGCACCTCCGTCAGGACCTCCGGCTCTGTCATGGCTGGAGATGCGGGCAAAGACAAAGAATCCCCGGTATAGCTTTAACAGACTGTTGAGGCAAGTGTACGCATGCGCGCACACACACAAAGGTATTTGCATACAAAGGCAAGCACAAGATTTCAGAGCAGCCTAAATTAAATCCTGTTTGTAATTGCGGGCCACAGCCAACTTCAGTGGCGAGTGATATTCAAATCAGTCGTCTTGTTTGCAGTGCTGGGCAACCCCTTAAGCAGACCCGCACCAATGAGTGTGGCAACAGTATGGTCAAACAACCCCTGTGACTGACAAGAGCGGGGAAGCCTACGTCCAGAAATGCATTGACGAAAGGCTGTACATTAAACAGAATACTCTTTGGTTCTTTCGGTAAAGTCACATAGGTATAAAGAATAAAAAATAATATATCACGATGATTCGATCGCAACACAAGCGGTCATCCTCAGGCAGAAAAATTAATCCAGCAGTGGAACTGCTGAACAAGGAAGAAACGCAGCGAGAGAGCTGTTAAGACGTCATATATGTGGCGAAGGGCAAGCAGGCCGGGTCCGAGCTGGAAAGAAATTCCATCCCCGCACGCAAGCACGTCAGTTGTGTTAATGTTATCATTCCCAGGACAAATGTTAGTCGTATCGCTATCGCCATCATAAGATCGAAATATCGTAAGTCGGGCAATCGTAACTCGGGGACTACCTGTATATGTTTGTGTTTCTCCCTTGTGATGGAAATGAAGAACGTTGACATTTATAAGGGCACGGGGTGACCAATAAGGTCTGAATTGGTCTGTAACACTGGTCTACAGCCAAAATGCTTCCGAAAGAAATGTAGTCCAACTTTACTAATTCTGGGTCACTGAGAATGAAAATGATGTTTAAAATTGTTGATTGGCTCCAGTTTACAAAATATGTTACTGGGTCAGTATATACAACCCTTGACTTATTATTATTATTATAAGGCAGGCACTGATATGGGGTTGCTGACAGGTCTGCATTTACTTCCGTTATTTGGAGGTGGCCTTGGCTGACCCTGTGAGAGTTTACCATGTGCTGTGGTGCAATGTCCAACGCTGTGCCGGAAGCCAGCATATGCTCGTTCAGCCAATATTCTGCTGACCTGCGTGGCGTGACGGTGGCGATGTTAACTACCTCGCCCGGTACACAGGAGGTCGTGGGTTCAATACCGACACTTACGCCTGCTGTATATTTGTAGTTTGCGTGTCTCTCTCTCATCATCACGGCAGCTAGGAGATGTTAACTCCCTCGCCTGGTATGCAGAAGGTCGTGGGTTCAATACCGACACTGACGCCTGCTGCTGCTGTATATTTGGAGTTTGCATGTCTCTCCCACTCCCCCGTGATAGCGTGGATTTTTCTCCGGGTCCTCCGGTTTTTCCCCTCCGCATTTAGATTCAACATCACGCGTTTAGACTCTTTGGTCATGATTACATTTGCACGTGATGATGATAAGCCACTTCCTTGAGCTATCACTTGTGATAACCAGGTCGCTTCTGACAACAACAACAAAAGCTCTTTATTTCAGTGGGCTTTTACCTGGTATAATATAAAATAGTTTAATCGTTTGGTCGACTTGATGAGGGGCTGGGTGCATCCGCCGTTGCAAATGCAAATCTCCACCACGCCTGGCAAACGCATCTCTCCCCATCCCACAGCACGTCGCGGGGAGATAGCGGCGAGAAACATTCCGCAGACACGTGTCGTGGCGCTGCGTGAAGTGTACAACATCGGCGGTTTCAACAACAACAACAAAAGAAACCGCGAGAAATGAAACCTCTCAAACGCGACAACTTAAACCACGCACGGGCCAAGCGATACCCATTGAGGCCTAGACAAAGCACCACAGCCAGTCGAGCCAAAAGCAACGGGTGTATTAAGTCTTAATTTTGGAGCTTTCGTGACTGCAGGAATTATTCTCCGGCATTCGATTGAACGGTCGACCTCACCGAGGCGTTAAGCGCCACCACACGCACAGAATGAGACTTACCGCGAGGATAGAGGGCGCTTTGACGACAACTCACTCGGCGAGGTGATAGCGACGACACGCGTTTGGCTTGGACCGTAACCAGCGCCTGCGGTCCCTGGGGAAGGGGGCGGGGCCTTCGTGCGGACGGGGGGAGGGGGTGGGGGACCGCGGCGATTTGACGCTGTTTCTGCAGAACAAAACGCACGTGCTCTTTTTGTTATTTCGGTTAAAGTCACGTGGGTATAAAATGAAATAAAGCACGACGTTTCGGGCGCAACACAAGCATCCGTCATCAGGTGGGAAAGCGGACGCTTGTGTTGCGCCCGAAACGTCGTGGTTTATTTTATTTTTCTATACCGACGGGACTTTACCGAAAGAACCACAAAGAGTATGGATTCCTGCAGTCACGAAAGCTTCAAATCAAGATTTAAAACGCACGTGCAGATTCCAGCTGACTTGTGAGCCGGCGATTTATAGTTGAATTATCCCCGCTACGATAGAGATATAGATATGATGTTATCGCACACACACAGATGAAAGATGGGTTTATTTACCCAAAGAAGCCGATGCGTTCCGTGTGTGTCTTACCTGTATCCCACCTGTGTGTGTTTTAGTGATATGTTAAACTTTAGATTTGAAGCTTTCGTGACTGCAAGGATTCATATTCTTAGGTTTTTTCGGTGCTGTGACGGGGTCACCTGAAGACGGAAGCTTGTGTTGCCTCTGAAACGTCGTGATTTTTATTTTATTTTTATTTTACTTGTATTCATTTTATTTTTTTACCTACGTGACTTTACCGAAAAAACCTAAGAATATGATATGTTAAACCTTTCTTGTACATTGTAGTGCTGTCGTGTGTGTGTGTTTTGTTGTGTGACTGTTGTTTGTAACGTTCCAAACCCCGTTCCCCGACTGGACCGTCTGTGAAGAAGAGTTTCATAGCTCATCGGATTCCTCCTGCAGTATCAATGAAGATTACGATTCTGCATCTCTGTTCTTTCAGCTCACTGGCAACCTCTCGCTCCCTAAATGTAATGATTCACTGCATAAACTGATATATATATATTTGTTTATGTTTGTATATGGATGGCATGCGTTGTATTGGCTTATATAGACGTGTGTCAATCGACAACCTCGGATGTTCGGTGAAGTAATGTAAACAATTTAAAATATAATGGCATAACATCGCAAAGAGTTAAGTATACTGTGTGTATGTGGCACGCAGCTATTTGTTAATGTTTGATAAATATGGCCTGGACACGGCTGCCATACTTTGTAGTCATGCACTCAAGAGACACTAGGAGCAGGAGGCAATCTATTAATACTGGTAGGAACCTCCTGGTTACACCAGCCCACAGGGGATTATTGTGTCCGTCGTGCAGGGAGGGGCTGGGTGGGAAGGGAGAGGCTGGGTGGGGAGGGTGGGGAGGGTTTGGAGGGGAGGGGAGGGTGGGGAGGGGCTGGGTAGGGAGTGTGGGGAGGGGCTGGGTAGGGAGGGGCTGGGTAGGGAGGGTGGGGCTGGGTGGGGGGTGGGAGGGGTGGGGCTGGGTGGGGAGGGGCTGGTCACCCCGTGGTGCCCTTATAAAACTCAACGTTTAACCTACTCGCGCCGGCTTGTGCCCGCCCTCACAGTCGGGCATATTTGCGGAATACACCACGCCGCCGTTGACCCTGGCCATTGACCGAGCAACCCGACGTTCCTACCAGCTCCCTCCGCAGGAATCTGTTTACTCGCCGTTTGCCCGTCCAATGCCGGGTGTATTGCAGTAAATCTGAAACTTACAAGCGAAAAACAGACCGCGACGTGGTTTTCATTGCATTGATGCGTGTGCAATTTGTAAGGGCGCGGTGACACAGACCTATTTCATTTTGCCAGTACCAAAATATGAGAATGGGTTTTCCCCTTTTTTCTAGCAACAAAGCAGCAATCATGTCTGAATTAGCCACAATGCTTGTGGTCAGAATGCAAACAAAAAAACACTCTGATAATATATGCATTGTCTTTGAAACTGATCGGTCCACACCAGAGACCGCTTTCTTTTGAGCCTCGACTCAAATGGTGTTAGACCAGAGGAAGAAAGCTGTCTCTGGTGTGGACCAATCAGTTTCAAAGACAATGCATATATTATCAAAGTTTTTTTTTATTATAGTAGGTATAGCCTTCACAGGTTACAAGAGGTAACCACAACTCTCAGTCAGGACAGCTGGCAGACTGCCTGACTGACGACGCCGAGATGGTGAAGACGCAGACGGTGACGAAGACTCCAGCAGAACGACGATGGGATCCCACTCCAGGCAACAGCCCCGAAACTTTGCTCGGAGTCACTTTTTATCCTCCCAGCGTGGCCTCGCTCCGCCCTGGCCACGCCCCCTTTCTAGAACCTACTCACGTGCCCCCTCTATCACCTTTCCCCTACATCCCTCTCTCTGTCTTATCACGTGACCTGCTCACAGTCAGGGCTGCTGCAACTGCAGATCCTCTTCTCTGCCAGCAACCAGCGCTATGCTACATAGTGACCCATTCCATGTCACTACACATGTTCCACTCATAGGCTTCCACATTCAGATAACCCCCTCCCCCTTCCCTCCCCCCCCCCCCCTTAAATTTGTATTTAAGAGCTTGACTCTTGGAATTTTGCCTCACTTGAGACAGTAAATCTAGCTGTGACGGTCCCACCTGATTACGGAGACTTGTGTTGCCTCCGAAACGTCGTGATTTATTATTTTATTTCTATTATTTCTATTATTTTTTACCTACATGACTTTACCGAAAAAACCTAAGAGTATACATTTTTTACGGTTTACTTTGTGACAGCCTACATGCATCGTGATAAGTCTACAATCTCTCAGCTGAGAATTCCCATTACAAAGGTGCTGATAATGCTATGATGATGGTGATGTGAACTTATCTCTGGGCAATGATTGAAGCCTGGGGGTTTTTTGTTTCCCCCTTTAGCTTGTATGGTTTGAAGTTGAACGTGGCTACCAATACGGACTGACTGAAAATATTTGGCCACTCGGAGGAAAAAATCTACAATGTTACGCTTTTTGAACAGCAGAAGGCAACAAACAACAAACAAATCCCAACATCGCATTATTGAGCACGTCCGGAAATGTTGCAATACTTGACAGAAACAAAAAACACAATTCTTGTGAAATGACCGCATGACAATCCAATTTTTATATGGTATCCTAATAGCACGTGGAACATAATGAACTCGTCATATCACAGATTGCTTTTATATTCAGGCATAGCAAGCTGAAATGTGGCAGATGTATACTGCAGTCGGGACTTTAATCATAAAAACTACAGCTTATATAGTGCATTTCATAACACCTCAAGGAACTTTACATCAATATATGTCCTGTATGTGTGTTGCCCTACATAGCCAGCCGTGCTAATGGGAGGTGCGGGGGAAGGACAACAAACTAAAAACAAAACGCAGTTCTAAAGAAATGCGATTTTTTTTTTCGTGGCGATTTAAAAGTGCGTTCCGGTTGCTTCCTAACATCTGACGGAAGAGCGTTCCAGACGGCCGCAGAAGCGCATCTGAAAGCGGTGACCGACTTTGTTCGATGGCCAGCCAAAAATCGCTGCGTGGATGGGGTAAGAAGTGTCTAAGTAAAAAATAGCAAATACCTCCTGAATGAGAATTTTTTTTTTAAGTGAAGATCCCAACTCGAATGTAAGAGATGTTCACGGTTCTAAATCCAGTGGCCGCCCTGATTATTACCGCGGGTGCAAGGAGCGCAATAAATACCGCACCGACTCACCGCCAACTTTATGGTGAACGTTTACCATCCCCCCCTGGCATTCGCATGATGTAGGCATTGGTCTGTTTTGGCGTCAGGGTCCGAGTTTGCACCGCAAATTACGGAATGAAGCTTGCACAAGGCAATCTTTGCCCAGCTCCTGGCAGACTAATGCGTCAGGTCACTTGCAATTGAGGCTCTCTCCTCGTTTTTTCTAAGTTCTCACCTGCTTAAACAGACTCAACGTCACAGAGATACACTTAACTTAGTCGTGTTTCAAACGCAACCGCTGCAGCACTATGATAATAGCCATCGCTGTGCAGTGCCGGATTATCCTACTCGCACAAGTAGCTACAGATGATGCTACGGGCCCCGCACTTTCAAGGGCCCCGCGCTAAATGCTTTCAAGCTATCAATTCCGGTTCAGTGATTCTGCACTTGCTCTAGTACTACAGTACTATACGGCCTTAAACTTTTATGAACGACTGGGTGTTTAGCGATTTGTCATATTATCTGGCTGTATAGCAAATGAAAACATACAATTACCTCACTATGCAAGTAAAAAATGTGTGTTTTAATATTTATGTGGGTTTTTTTTGTTTAGGGCTCCTTTATAACATACTAGCTTTACTACCCGGCTTCGCCCGGGACTTGGATTCACCACGCCCGGCCGCCTTTGCCCCCCCAGTGGCGATGTTCACACACCACACAAGTTACTCGTTTGAGGCTGAGTCGACCTAGGGGTGGCCGTGAACGGGAATCGAACTCGGGCCGCCGGGTTCGTAGCGCAGCGCGCGAATCGCTCCGCAGTCGCCCACTCAGGTGTCAAGCTTAACTCAACCCTGTTCATGGGCAAGTCGTGCGCATCGGGGCAAAACGAGCTATTTTTACACTGCACGTTGATGTTTTTGGTGGAACAAAATAACATATTTTGTTAAGAAGTCGCAGTTATCCATAATAGAGGTTTTTGGGTTAGATCGCGGATTAATATATTTTAGACGTATGCGATCTTCCCCAAAAAACATCTATTATATGGATGATATTGGTTGCGAAAGCCAGCGTGTTAAGTCGCAGTTATTTAATTTATTTACTTTAAAAGGGAATTTTTTCAGCTTAACCCGGAGCATATCACCCCTCGATTTAAAGCTTTTGTGACTGCAGGGATTCGTCTTCTTGGTTCTTTCGGTCACAATGCAAGTAGCCGTCCTCAGGTGGGGAACAGGTCTGTCGAGGAGACAGAGTCTGAATGACAAGCCCCAGGCTTGGAGCGACTATTTAAGCTTGGATGGAGGGGCGAAGAGCGCCATCCCAGCTTAAACAGTCGCTCCAAGCCTGGGGCTTGTCATTCAGACTCTGTCTCCTCGACAGACC